GCTAATCAATAAATAAAACATAATATTTGGGAAGGAAAGAAAACAGAAAGGATGAAAAAATAGATAGATGAATTTTTCTTTTAACTCACTAAAATCAATCCCTCCAAAATTGGATGAAAAGTTAATTATTTATGATGAAGTGTATCTTATTTGTCTATATATATTTTGTTATATACATATACTAGTCATAATCCGTGCCTGAATGCACGATGAAACATAAAATTCAAGCATCCAAAAAAATTTACTCCACTATATTAAATAATAATTTTTCTTTCCTTCATTTCTTTAATTACATCATTTAAAATCTATATTTATCCATTATTTTCTTAAAAATTTTGACAATTTTTTTTAAAATACGTAATCCGACAAAAATTTTTCAATATGTGTATACTATTGTATATGGATAATTTTTGAACTAAAAAATTTATTAAATTATAAAATAATCAAATATTAAAATAAGTGGACATGTGATTGAAATAGGTGACATGATGTTTTTGGAGGGAAACATGTGTAGGGAATAAAATTCAACTTATGAGCTATCTTATTATATAGATTATGTATACATTAATTTTATATATAAATACAATGATAAAATATATTTTTTTAAAATAAAAAAATATTTTTTCCATCTTAGCTAGGGGTGTAAATTTTCGACTCAACACGACGACACGATTCGAACTCGACACTAATTTTATGCGAACTTAATTATAATTCAACACGAACTCGAAAATGACCTAACACACGAACACAAAATTTAAGCGGCCCATATTCAATTCAACCTATCAAACTCAAAATTAACACCATCAACCCGTTTATTTAAGAATAAATATTTTATCTATTTTCTCGTTTGTATGGTAACACAAAATTAACATGTTTAACTAGTGTTATAGACATAAAATGTTAATTATTTGTAACTATTTATTAAGTACTTACATAATTATTATATAAAAAAAGATATTTTTACTTATTATTATTATTATATTTATTTAAGTTAATTTTAGTTTGTCGAAAAATTAAGAGCATGGATTCAATTAAGTGAAAATAGAATACTAGCATTAAATTTTGTATTCAAAGTTTATATGGATCACCATGAATACGAACATGAACACGACACGAAAATAAACAGGTCAACTCGACACGACACGATTAGTTAAATGAGTTGAATTATGTTTGACTAATGTTCGACACAAACCCACAATGACTGGACATGAACTTAACACGATACGACTTCATTGTCACCCCTAATCTTAGCAAGCACAAAAAAAAATTAATTATTTTTATTTTTCATACATCCTACCAAACACAAAGGAAAGAAAGTGTATCATTCCTAATTTCCTTCTTTGAATAATAGAAATTGTATCCTTCATATTTTTCATTCTTCCTACCAAACGGAGCATTAGTAAACAAGAAAACTCATATTCATGAACAACTACTCGATCGATGGGAGGGTGGTCATTGGGCGGTTGGCATTGGAATTAAAATTATGTTGCNCGTGAACAACTACTCGAACGGTGGGAGGGTGGTCATTGGGCGGTTGGCATTGGAATGAAAATTATGTTGTCATCCTATCCAGGAGTAGCATCGCTCGAGCGACCATGAAGGACATCCCAAGCAAGCTACGTGTTGTTCCCCCGTGGCCTTTTTCACTTTTAATTCCTGTTGAATGATAAAAATAAATAAATCCATTATTTAGTGAAATTTTTTGAGTAAGGTTCACAACTTGTATTATTCAAAAAGGTCCCGAGCACATTCATTATATTACAAAATTTTACATATAGCCACGATTAATTTTTAGAGTTAGTTGACTAGACCAAAGACATGGGTCCGATTACTATCCCTAATAAAAAAGGGACTTCTGTTCTAGAAGTTTAAACAAAGGTCAGCTGTCTCACGGGCTAAAAATAAGATAAAAGAAAGGGCCAAGAGATCTTTTACAAAAGTAAGGGGCTGGTGGTTATAAAAGAGGCAATTCCTTTAGCAAAGAAATGTAGAAAACCCACCAAGAGATCTTTTACATATTATTTTTACTGTATCATGCGATACACAATACATTTCAATATCTTGAAGAGAGGATACGTCGCACAAGATCATTCTTCTACTTTTTTTTTTACTCTACACAATGAAGTGACATCGTTTCTTATAAGTTAGGGTGCGTTTGGTAACAGGTTGTTTTCAATTTTTTTTTTTTTGTTTTCAGTTTTTAGAATATATATATATATATATATATGGTGAATGTCATCATTTTTTTTGGCTAATCTATTTTGTAAATAGCCCTAATTTTTGAAAACAAGATTTTGGAGTTTACAAAAACATGCGCTCGGGGAGCCGAAGGGTTAGATGCGGTCTTTCCATCGAATCCCATTAGCAGCATTTTAAGAGGACTTTTACCTAGAGTACATAAATCTCTCTCTCTCTCTCTCTCTCTCTCTCTCTCTCTCTCTCTCTCTCTCTCTCTCTCGTGTTTGTTGTCGTTTGATCTGAAGCTAAGCAAACATCTTCTATCTGACGTCCGTCGTTGCTCTCCTATCCAGCATTGCTCTCTTCTCTAGTGCAAAAATATTTATTTTCGTTTTTTAAGATCTGTACACATACACACACACACACTTGTGTGCATAGATTTGAACTATTTATGTATATATCTAACATTTTATGTATAGATCTATACATATATGTATCCATGTATTTCAATTACAGATCTAGGATTTTTTTTTCAATTTCAGATCTAGGGTTTAGGGATTTTTTTTCATCTCCATTTTTTCTTGCAAATCTATTGTGGATCTCTATGTATCAATGTGTGTTGTGTGTGTGCATCTATGGTGTGTTGTGCGTGTTGTGTGTGCATCTGTGTGTATGTGATGTGTGTTTTGCGTCTGTGTGCGTTTGTGTGTATGTGTTGTGTGCGTCTATGATGTGTGTGCGTCTGGGTTTGTGTGTGTGTTGTGTGTGCGTAAATGAGATATTGCATACTGGAGGATTTGGGTATTGCACGTAAAAAATTTTGAAACATTTAATAAAATAAATAAATAATCTAATTATGTGACAACATTAGATATTATCTCATATTTATCATACTTAAATTGTTTGTATTCTTTTCATAACTATAAACATCAAATTGACTCATTTTGTGTAATTCTTTCATTCGAACTACCAAGTAGTAAGGTTTACAGATTTTTTTTCCTTTGTTTTTCTTGTTTTTACTTTGTGCATTAGTAATTTTTAACAAATTAGTTTTATTATAAATAAAGAGATAAGATAAATATATCCATTTTTGGAAATTGGGATGATATTGTCGCAAATGGAATTGTCAACGTGTATTAATATTAGGGTTTTGAAAAAAAAATAATATTTTTATATATCATGTTAAGCATAACATAATCATTCAAAAGTTTTGTAAAGATAGAGAAATTTAAATTTACATGATATGTTAGGAGATTAGTTTGTTATTTAAATACAAAAATATANTAACATAATCATTCAAAAGTTTTGTAAAGATAGAGAAATTTAAATTTACATGATATGTTAGGAGATTAGTTTGTTATTTAAATACAAAAATATATAATGATAATTTGTATATTTAAATACACAAGGACATGTTAGCCTTTATAGTGTTTTATAAGAGCAAAATAGTGAATCAAAATTTTTTTTATGTTAAGGTACTTTTATTAATAGTATAGATATAGATAAATAGGTTGATGTATTGATACTTTAAATGTTTAACAACTTCTATTATTTTGGGTTGATGTATTGATATAAATAATGTAAATATGTTTTAGCAGGAATTAAAATATATGACAAAAAATACTAATGTGAATGTAACATATATGACAAAAAATAAAATGATAATCAAACATGTTTTCTATTTTAATTTTTTAGATTTCTTAAAACAACAATTGCATTCAAACACGTTTTTTGTTTCAACTTTTAACCACAAAAAAATAAATAAATAAATAAAAACTGTTTCTATAAATATTTTTTAGTAAACATAAAAACGAAAACGTTACCAAATATACCTTAATTTTTCTATTTTTTTTATTTATTTTCAAACAGACAAAGCTTGTGGTCATCCCTATTCTTTTGCAATCCTATTTTGATATTCCTGCTTCTTGTTTCCTTCTTCTTTAAACAAATAAAACCTAACTACATTTCAATCTCTACCATGAAAATATAAAATATCGATCCGCAAACATGCATCGCACAAGATGAAGAGTGAAAGAAGATACATTATTTAAAAAAAAAAAAACGTAATTACAATTCACATTTTGACCACCTTACTCTTTAACACATTCATCGGTGTGCATTTTCACGAAATCTTTAGTTTCCCGTGCACAGTAGATTCGTGATAGTTTATCATCCCAAACTGGCAGTCAATGGAGACAAATCAATTTGGAGCCTGAACACAAGAAACTCAAAAATAAGGGGCAACCTAAACTACCGCTCAACAGAAAGTTTATATCACCATAAACCGACTGTTATTTCCACAAAACCATACAAATCGCCAATGAAATATTTTACATTGAGAATAAAAAGTCAATGGTGAAAATATATCTATTTGAAACAATGAACTAATTTTCATGTAATCAATCAAAAAAAAAAAAAAAGAGCTCACAAGGAGACTACAAATTACTAGAACAATCATTGGCAGTGTCATACACTACAATTGCAATATCTGCTTTCACATGCCCTTTCCTAATGGAGGAAATAATAGTTGGCATGTGTATAAAAACCAATTTCACCAGGCAAACTGAGGTAGAAACAATACTGTGCTAGCATAGAGCTTCAGCTGCACTCGCATTCATATCCAGTTCATATCATTTGAGTCTTCCAAGCAACCAGCATGACATCTCAAGTGGAAATTTACTAGGTGAAGAAAAACGCAAATCAATCAAGTCTCTTCGATTGGTCCACTCAGGTGGTCTTCCCTGCTATTTCTGTCGGTTTTCTGAAAGATCAATAACAGAGATTTGAATCTCTAAATATGGCAAGGAAAGGCAGGTCCAGAACTAAAATTTTCTCTTGCTACGTTGTTTGGCTTTCATGAGCTCCACCAAGGAGGGAAGAGGCTCAGGCACAGGCACATTCATAGATCTATACAATTTTCTCAAGCTTTCATTAAAGCTAGATGATCCGATGGGTGAATAAGAACAACGTTTGCAAGTTCCTGGTTTCAGCTCTTCTGCCACATCACATTTTGTGTCAATAACTTCCAACCCTTTCTTGATCTCCTCTGATTTTTCGCATTCTGCTTCAACACCATTTTGGAACAAGATATCTGATTCTATATTTTCAGAAACACTACGTAGAGAGTCATCATGTAGGGGTACCATTTCCTTGTCTTCATGAAACAAAGTAGATTCTTGAAGACCAAGCCTTGCTCTTCCAAATAATGTAACAGGTGATTTTTTGCTGGGGAGAGACACGTTCAAAAGTGCTCTCTGACTAGTAGATATCTTCATCAGTTGCGATTGTGACTCGGCACAAGATTTGACTGTCTTTTCAACCATGGACGAACAATTTGAAAGTTTGATTAATGCATCAGTGGGTAAACAAGCCTCCATATTTATATTAAGAATCTTCCAGATAGGGTCATCAGAAGCTAGTTGAGTGTAAGAACAATGCTTTCTAACATAATTAAGCTCCATAGCCCAGCAACCAGGTGTCGTTGAAATTACCCGTTTGGGTGCAAGAAGTTGAAGTGCCCACTCTAATTCTTCCCTACATGAGTGCATTGAGTAACAGACATGCCAAACACCAAATTTATCCCTCACTGCTTCATTGCATCTCTCCTTCATTTGTTTCTCAAATTCTGAAAACCTTTCCTCACATACATACCACTGTGCCGAAGGGTGTACTATAAGAGGCTCAGGCTGACAACTAGCTCGGGCATCAGCAAACTTAGCTTCTGCTCTTTCGTACAATTTAGGAAATCCATCAAGCACATGGAAGCGACAAGATGGATCTTGCGAAAGAATTTCGGGAACAACGAGCTTCAGAGCCTGGAAACATACTGGATTATTTTCTTTATCAATAAAAATCTTTGTACCAAATGTTCTGGAGACATTTACGAGTATCTCTTCCTGCCCTAGAAGATCACAGGCTAGGTACACCAAAGGAGCACCAGAATGCTTCCATATACAACTGATGACCTGCTTCATGAATATGAAATCAAAAATCAACCAGGCTTCTTGTTTGTATTTTCTCGTAAGAGGTTAGAGTTGATACTAACATACTCGTATGAAACAAAATCACATACATAAAAAGTAAGAGATAGAGATGGGCAAAGAGAGGGAGGGAGAGAGAAGACAAAAAATATTACATTTACAGTAAGGATATAAGTCCATAATAATAAGTGAATACATAAGTATTCTTCTCATGAATGTATGCACCTATAAATAACTAGAATGATGATAATTAAATTGACTAAAATTCATTCTACTTTAAAATCTGCTTCAGCGCCTTACTGGATGACCAAAACATTCATCATTTAAAGAGAATTGTACATATTTCTTGAGCTGGAGACGACGTAATACACATGTAAACCGAGTTATTACTATCATGAGAGAACTAAGGCCTACATCAGGCTCAGCTTTTCTCCATTGATTAGAATATTACATAGTGGAGACAATATTATCTAGTAACAAGCCTACACTAGAAGGTAGCTTAGTGTTTCTTTTTGCATTGACTACATCTACGTTCAGCTAATGTCTTCAAGGCATGCCATTTGCACAAGATTAAAAGTGTTAAGAGTTCTTATTTTCTACATTAAGTCCTAAGTTAGCCAATGCAGGGTAATATTGTAATTATCCTAAATATTACTTAGTTAAAAATACAAGGGTGTAGGGCAATATAGCAGCCCTAACACAGAACTGATTATTCTTTACAAGCACTCTTTCTCTTCTCCTTCTTCCCTCTTTCCCTACATATTTCTAACCCTAATATCGTTGTTTTACATTTCAACTTGGTATCAAAGCATTAAATCAAGATTGTATAACATCGAAAAAGGATCAAGAAATTTTTTTGGCACTGTTTCCCATTGCTGACATCACAGCCAGACGTCATGCTAACGTCAGCAACCGACGACCAGCAATCAAGCTCCCTTGGTCAATTTCTCATGAGGATGTTTATGGTAATTTTTGTGAAATTTTTTGGAGCCATTTGAGTTAGGTTTTCTATTTTTGAATATTTTTCGGAAAATATGGAGCATTTTTTCAGATCTGGATTTTCTGAACCTTGATCTCCGGTTTGTTGCTTGGATAAGCCCCCTTAGGTGCCGATTGGAACTTTACATTGGTTTCTTGAGTAGCCCAGCCCCCTTGGGCTGTTATTTGGTGTTTTCTAGTTCATCCAGGTCTGTCGGCACTGTTGCTGGTGCAGTGACGAACAGTCACCAATCTTGGTGAACTGCTACTGCTGTCAGGCTGTGGCTTCTGTGAGTGATCTTGCGTAACCCCGGTGTGACAGGCTGGTTTGGGTTGTGAATCAACGCCCTCTGTGGCTCTGGTATGTCCTTCTTTCTCTTCTTGAATTGTTTTTTTTGGCATTGACTGCTCTGTTGATGAGCTGCTACTGCCTTGCTGTGCTGCGTTGATTGGGGTTGAATCAATTCCTGTTGTTGTTGTGGGTTGCTTGGGTTAGCCAAACCCTGCTGTTGTAGTTGTGGGTTGCTTGGGTTTACCAAACCCTGCTGCCTTTTTTTTTGTGTTGGTTGTTGTGTTGTGGGTTTAAATTTGGGACAATTGTTTGTTTTTCCTTCTTCGGACTCTTGTGATTGATATCTAATTGGTTGTATTCAATAGCAACTCTTGAGGATAAAAAGAATACTTCTGTGGATGGCTCTGTTCGACAGGTTTATTCCGGGATAATCAGGTTCGGCAAATTACTTCTGTGAAGTTAAATGGAACCAATTATCATTCTTGGTCCCGTGCAATTAAGGTATTTTTACGGGCTAAAAAGAAAGTCAATTATTTGACTAAAAGCCTTCCTCCAGATAAATCAACCGGTGAAGAAGACTGGTGGAGTAAGAATTCATTGGTAATAACCTGGTTGTGGCTTAATATGGAGTCATTTGTGGCTTCTAATGTTCAACTTCTTGATACTGCCAAGAAAATTTAGTACTCTCTTGAGGAGATATATTCACAAGAACACAACATGTCTAGGATCTATGAACCGTTCGAGCATATGTTCAATACTACGCAGGAAAATAAATCTTTGGTTGAGCATTATGGCATTTTGAGAGGTTTGTGGGAGGAACTTCTGCTCTATCAACCATTGAATGCAAACCTTGAGGTACAGTGACGGGAACATGAAGAGTTTCGAGATGCATTATTCTTATCTAGTCTTAACTCTGAATATGGTGTGTTCTAGGATCAGATTCTAGCTAGTGAAAAACTTCCAACGACTGCCAATGCTTATTCTTGTCTTCAAAGAGCCTCTCAAACCAGTGGAAATTCCTCACCCTCACAGTATTCCTCTGCATTGCTCTCTGGTGATGGTGGTCATGGCCATGTCTGTAGTGGTGGTCCTGGAGGTGGTCGACCTCCAAATCAAGGTGGTGGCCGTGGTGGCAAAGGCACTAGTAGAAGAAGACGTGGTGGTCATGGTACTCGTTCTGAGTGGAAATGTTCTTGTTGTGGAGCTACCAGTCATACTGAGGACTATTGTTGGGATAAACATGGGAGACCAGCCTATGCTAATCATGTTTCTAATGACCCTCCTCCACCAATTTCTTAGCCATCCATTGATGGTCATGCTCCATCTACGTCTAGCTCATATGATGCACTTACTATTCAAATTAGCCAGCTCCTCCAGTAGTTGTCTTCACACATGCCTACTTCAATTGCCGATTTGGCCACTGCCGATAATTTTTAACATATGACTGCCCAATCAGCTTTACCATCTTGGATTATTGATTCAATAGCTAGTGCCCACATGNGGTAATTTTTAACATGTGGCTGCCCAATCAGCTTTACCATCTTGGATTATTGATTCAATAGCTAGTGCCCACATGTCGAGTATTTCCTCCTTATCTTCTAATTTCCACTCTTCTAACTCTCGTATTATGTTAGCGGATGGTTCTTTTAGACTAGTGCGTGGGACTAGTTTCTCTATCTTACAAAATCTATGTCTTTAACATCTAGTTTATTTGTCCCTCAGTTCCCTTTTAATATGTTATCTGTGAGTAAGCTCACCAAATCTTTACAGTGTTCAGTGACATTTTCTCCCACTTCTTGTGTTTTTCATGATACCCGGACGAATAAGATGATTGGTTTAGGGCATGAGCAGAATGGACTTTACTATTTAGATTCTAGGGATGCCGTTCTTGCCTTAAGTGCTACCATTTCTCAACTCTAGTGGCATTTTTGATTGGGTCACCCTTCACTATAAAAGCTTCGCNGTCGTTCTTGCCTTAAGTGCTACTGTTTCTCAACTCTAGTGGCATTTTTGATTGGGTCACCCTTCACTATAAAAGCTTCGCCAAGTCATTACTACTTTGAGTCCTTCTGTTATGTCAGAATGTGAGGCTTGTCAATTAGGAAAGTATCATCGTAGTTCTTTTTTTGTTAGTAGTACGAGTCGTTAGTCTAGTCCCTTTTCTATTATTCATTCTGACATTTGGAATCCTTCAAGAATAGAGTATTTTTGCATTTCATTATTTTGTGATTTTTGTAGATGATTATTCTCGTATGACTTAGTTATTTCTTATGAAGGATTGTTCTGAATTATCTAAAAAAAAATTCACCTTCTATAATGAGTTTCTAGTGTAGTTTGATAAACATGTTAAGATATTTTGTTCTGACAATGCCCTTGAGTATGTACAATCATTTATGCTTACATTTTGTGCTGATCATGGTATCATTCATCAAACTACATGCCCACACACATCCCCGCAAAATGGTATTGCAGACACAAACATCGCCATTTATTAGATGTTGTCCATACTCTCATGTTTAACATACATGTACCTAAACCTTATTGGACAGATGTTCCCACTACAGTTTATCTTATTAATCTAATGCCCCCTTCATTCTTCTTACTATACCCCGATACATCACCCTTCAGTCTTAACCCTCATGTCTTTCATTGTACTGCATCTAGTCATCTTTTAGGTCCAAGTCGGGATAAACTTTTCCCCTGCTTAATTAAGTGTCTTTATGGGATACTCTCATACTCAAAAAATTTATCGTTGTTATGAATCTATCTCTCGTCAATATTATACCAATGCTAATATTACTTTTTTTTGAGTCAACTTCTTTTTTTTCTATTCAGGCAATACTCTTTCCCTAGATTTGATCTCTACTACTCAAGGAGAGCTCCTATTACCTCTTGTACCGGATGGAGTTTCTTCTTCATCTCAAATTCTTAACCCTCCGTTGTAGATCTATCATTGTTCTCTCGATAGACAAATTGTCCCATATGCTCCAGATCCCCAACCAACGCCTAATTCTACTAAGGTCCTTCCTTCTGAGCCATCTCCTCCATCACTCTCTTGTGATTTGCCTATTGTATTGTGGAAAGATACTCCTACTTGTACTCAACACCCTATTTCCAACTATGTTTCTTTGCATAGATCCCCCTCTTTTTGTTGTTTTGCATCCATCTTCTCTTCTGTTGTTGTTCCAGGTTCTTTGCAACAGGCATTAACATCTCCTGGCTGGAAACTTGCTATGGATGAAGACAACCATACTTAGACCCTGACTTCTATTCTTTCTCTCACTTCTCTTCCTTCTGGTAAACCTGTCAGTTGTCACTGGGTCTACGCTATAAAATATTATCCTAATGGGTTTGTTGAGCGTTTAAAAACACAGTTGGTTGCCAAGGGCAACACCCAGACATATGGTGTGGATTACAATGAGATTTTCTCTCCGGTTACTCGATTTAACTCTGTTAAAGTTCTTATTTCTGTTGCAGTCTACTGTGATTGGCCAATCTGTCAACTAGACAAAAAACATATTTTTTTATATGGAGATCTACAGGAGGAAGTATATATGAATTAGCCTCCAAGTTATGTTGTTTTTGGCCAAGAACGAGTAGTGTGTCAATTGAGAAAAGCACTTTATGAATTGAAGTAGTCACCACGTGCTTAGTTTGATAAGTTTAGTACTACAACACTTCAGTTTGGCTTTCAGCGTTCCACTCTCGATCATTTAGT